GACAACATTAAATAAATAGTATACAATGTGTTATGTCTTATTTAGAAACCATACTTAAAGAATATATTTTGTATGTATGAGCTTTGCATTTACAACAAAAATTTCAAAAATCTTATGAATCGATAAGTATATTTGAATTAAAATGCAATTTCTGTAATGATTGTGTTTTCATTTAAGTAAAATATTTTCGTTGTGTTTTATGTATTGTTAAAGAGTTTTTTCATTTTTAAACGTTTGTTTAATGCATTTCCAATTAGATGAGACTACATAAATTTAGCATGACTCTTTTATTACTCTGTAAAAAAAAACAAAAACTCTCATGTCGTGGAAATAGTGATTTTTTTTGATGAAGCTAAAATTAATGTATCTTCGACTTTTTTCTTACACCTTATGCCAATTGAAATGAACTTAACGTTAGAGAATTTTTTATTAATGATTAACAAACCGATATTAGTTTAGCTATTTTACGTGTTTTAAAATAAAACAAGCTTTTATTTGTTGATGTTATGCGTTCCCATGTATTCGAATGCGATCGAATTGCGACGTAGTTACGCGTAACTGCAATCGTACTTTGACCCGTAGTTGCGGAAAATTGCGTCGCAGCTACGCGTAACTGCGAATTTTTTAGCGTAGTTGCGCGTAACTGCGATATTTTATTCGTACTTACGCGTAACTGCGTCGCAGTCGATCGTAGTCGAACATATGATTTTTTTTGCTGCGATCAATGCGCCACAGTTACGCGCAGTTACGATCAAAATTTCGCAGTTACGCGCAACTGCGACGCAGTTGTTAAAAAAGTGGCGACATGGGTTCTTTTGGTGCTTTTTGAATTAATCACGATCAATCTGAACTTATTTTCTATCATCGTCAAGAAATTACATCTGATTTTTAAAAACAGATATGTTTTATTTAGATTTTGCTTGTATGTTGTTAGATTTTGAAGGGTGTGGATGTGGGCGTCGGAGTATACAATTCCTCTTTCGCCACACTCATAACCACACCCAAAACTAATTTAAACTATATAATCGATTAAAAAAATTTAAATCAGCTGAACTTCATCATTCAGAATGAAAGATCCTATTAAAATCAGATTAAAATGCTAGTATTTAATCGATTTTTAATCTAAAAATAAGCAATTTCAAGTCGAATTTTTGGCCTTTTTCTACATGGACAAACTATGGAAGCATGTAGCTTGCTTGTTGATATGTTATGATATCGTTTCTGACGTTCATACATCTTACCAAGACCTAACATGGTTACACCAAACTGGCAAAGAAAAGGTCGTTCTAAAAACCTTGAATTTTATAAGAGTATTGCTCATATCAGAAAGCAAAGCTCAAGACTTTCTTGACTTTGTGGAAACGCAACTTTTCTTACCTGTCGACTAGTATACTTCATCATGAGAGTATGTTATTGATATTCAACAATAGAAATTCGCCGACATTAACGATCGTTTGCGATGAAATACAATAACAAATACTGATTCTATATCGAACGAATTACAATAAGCAAAGACGGTACATCGCGATATTATGCGATGAACGTATACAATCGGCATATTGTTACAGAAGTCGTACACAGTGACTGTTTATGGCAATTGTTTACAATGGCCGTAGCATGCCGTAAAGCATCAGGCACGACTGTTGTAAACGGTCACCGAATACGGCTCACGTATACGATACGTGACATTGTTTTTGGACCAAAGTACACAGTCACCGTATTGTTACGGTAGTAGTTTACGATGAACTTTTACGGACACTGTGTACGATTGCCGTAATATGCTGTAAATCGTCGTTTACTGATGCCGTATATGACTAACGTAAACAGTTGCCGTTTTTCGCCGTATTTGGTTAGTGAACGGCCGTTTACTGCCGAGCGTGATTGACCTGGGTAGTCATCAATAATGAGAGGAGTCTTTAGATGAGAAAAAAATATATTTTTAAAACCAACATATGTCTCAAAACCATTGGAAATAGTGTATAAAATATTATTTGTGATAAAATACAATAGAATTTTTATGACGAAAAATTATGTCATATCTCAGATTATACATATCAAGATGATGGTTTTGAGAAATGATCAGATTGCATCGATAGTGGTGAGCTTCGGTTCATTTCAAATAGACAAAATATTCGCCATTTCATGAATTAAAGAGTCAAATTACACTGTGCAAATCATTTTCAATGTTGTTTTGAACCCATTTTAATAATTTACAATTTAAATTTGTCTTTGTATTGTTACTGCTTCCATCTATTGCATCACACTGCGCAAAGATTTTGTAATGCATATCTTTTGTCAATAATCCTTCTTTATAACATATCTATGCAATTAAAATTTTTTTTTTATCATTCTACTGCCTACACTTGGAAATTTCCAAGTAAAACTAGTTATTGCACCATGTTACTTCTATTATTAGTATATCGATTGGGTTTTGTCGACATTCGACGACACACTAGAAGAAGATAGACCAATCAAAGTTTTCCATGAATAATGGAGATTTTTGAAACAGTTCAAAATCAATATTCAACAATCTTATCTTATGGTGTATGACAATATCAGACTTTCTTCAACAATCAAACGATAGAGTTCATGTAGATTTTTTCCTAGGAGTGAGCTTATATTTGGAGAAAAGATTATTCCATTGTCTACAAGTTTGATGTCAGAAATTTCTAAGTTCGAACACGTCGACACCCAAAAAGCAACAAAATTCTTTCTGATTATTGTCTCTAAACCTACATATCATTGAGTTCGAGTCAAAAAAAACCGTTCACTAGTTTAGTCTGAGTATAACGACGAATGTTTAGATTTTCAAAATAAAAAATTTAAGTCTTGCCATGAATTTCCAACATGACAAAGATACAAATCCTCAACATTGGTGAGAAACTTTTTGGAAATTTCAACAGCTCTTCAGAATTTACAGAATTTTGTTTTCACAGCAAATCCAAACTTACAAAATACATTTTCGGAAATTATTAGGAACTTTGAGTAATAACCGAAATTTCCAAAAAATTTATATAAACACATAGATGGACCCTTTAGTGAAAAGAAGACTTTCTTATCTGTCGTCTGCTATTTCCCATCCTATCGCATGTATTTATCTTTAATGTTCTTGGATATTATCATATCTTAGGCACTCTTTATCAATCCATATATAGTTGCCGATTTATTACAAGAAAGTATAGTATATATTTATTGAGTGCAATGATCGCTCGAAGGAAAGTTTTTCCATAAGGAATAATTTCATGCGTTTGGGTTTTAGTCACTTACATAAATTCATGTCACACTAAGTTTTATGGGTATCATATAACCACTGTATAGTGAGTTATAAATATCCAAATAATTTTGGTCTCACTAAAACATGTCATCAAATGAGTCGGCAACATTTGTACAAATGACTGCGGTGTTTTTAAATGAAAATTCTCACTGGGTCGATTTGTAGTATTATCTTCGAGTCTGTCGTTTTTAATAATTAGATTCTATTCTATACTTCAAAGCATATTTAGTGAGATCGTTTGAATGATTAAAATCTGTTAAAAATTTTCATGAATCAAACATTCATTTATAAATGATATCTCTTTTAGATTTTATTAGATAGATAAAGCAAAATGTCCGTTACATCTAAATTTCTAACCGACAGTTTGAGTAATTCATCTAATAAATACAAATCAATGGATGATTCATCGAAAACATTCAATAAGAAAAAAGAAGGATCTCAAACTCTTGCTACTATGATTAATCGAATTCAAACATTAATTAAATCAATAAAGAGACCAGGTGTTCATGCCGTCGATTATATGTCTGATGTTGGCTTTGATTATACAGGTGATGGAGATACAGCTCGTTGTAAAGACTGCGGACTTGAAGTATCCAACTGGACATTAGATATGAATCCATTTACTATTCATTCAAAATGCCAACCGAATTGTCCATTCGTACGCTCTATAATATCAACTTCATCATCAGATGTACTTGTGTCTTGCACGATCCCAATAACTACTACTCAAAATCCATCTATTTTAACGGCAGAAGAAAACACTTGTACTCTTCAAAAAATAAAAAAGATGGATTTTCAATCAGTATCAAATACTTTACTTGAAACTAATACACTTCAACAAGTGCGAAGACGTACTTTTTCTCATTGGCCACATCGTACTGTTCCATCGAGTGCACAAATGATTGAAGCTGGATTTTTTTGTTGCAATGTGGGTGATCGAGTAGTATGCATCTATTGTAATCTTATTTGTCAACAATGGACACCTCATACCGATGATCCGTGTGAATTACATAAAACATTATCACCTAATTGTATATATGTCAAAACAAGATTAATGCATCCTACAACTTCATCAATAATTATTGTCAATGAAGGCTCAACAACAACAATCACAGACGTTGCTTCATCAATATCAAATAATCTCAGCTCCTTACGACCTAATGATATTGTATTTAGAGCATCATGTAATCCTGCTTATTCAGAAATACCAAAACGTTATGCATCATTCGTTACATGGCCAAATGAAAATTTACCATTAGTAGATGATTTTGTTCGAGCAGGATTTTTTTATACAGGTGCAACAACCATTGTTACTTGTTTTTATTGTAATGGATCATTACAAAATTGGAGTTCAAATGATAATCCAATGATTGAACATGCTCGTTGGTTTCCATTTTGTCCATATGCTAAACAATTGTGTGGCGAAGAACTATATCGTAAAATTCAAAAATCTAAACGAATACAACAAGGTAAATTTTGAAAAATTATAAAATATTGGTTAAAATTGATTGATTTGTTTTTCTTTGATAGAGCGCTCTAGAGCTAACGAATTAAGACAAAGAAAAGGCTCAAATGATCTGATAAATACTAATGTGACAGAAAATAGTGGAAAATTAGTAATACGTGATGAAAGTACTTTATCCAGACTCGTCTCTGCACGATTAGATTTATCGATGTCACAACGTTTATTAGATCAAAATTTTAAATTATCTATTATTAAACGATGTTGGGAAGATCAATTACGAATAAAACGTACGTTAATCAACCAACTATTGTTTTACGTATTTTTTTTTTGAATATTTTATTCAGATGATGATTTTGTATCCGATTGTGATTTATATGTTGCTTGTGTAATTCTTCGAAAACAGATTGAACATATTGATGGTAAAAAAGAAAATATTGTTATACCAAGTATAAAAATGAAACCAATCCGAGAAAAAAATGGTAAGTTTATTATAGGTATATTTCGCATTTGTATGTTCTTATTTTCTAGAGACAGGAATGCATGAACAAGTATCAACTATACCTAATGCAGCTCAATCTGAACAAAATCGTACAGATGTTGATGTGAATATATTATCACAATCATTAACAAATGAATCTACATCTTCTCAATCTTCTATTAACTCAACATCAAAATCAATAAACAATAGTAATGAACGTGAAACACAAACAAATAAACAAATAACTACTATTAATGATCGAAGTCAATCAATTGATTCACAACCATCGAATCTTTGTGTTCTATGTCTGACAGAAGCTAAACAATTAGCTTGTATACCATGTGGTCACATGGCAACATGTGTCGCATGTGGTCACTCACTGCGATTGTGTCCAATATGTCGACGAGAAATCGATGCATTTATTAGAATTTACATTTAACAAAAAATATTTTTTTTCTTTTACTAAATCACGGTTAGTTAGTTATCGTCGATAGGTTTTATATCTACCCGAGATGATAAAATAACATTGATATAGAAAATAGATGCTTTTCAATATTATGCAAAAGCAAAATAAAAGTTTGTATTTTTAAAAGTGGTTTGTTATTTTTTTTGTGAAGTTTGTTATTATTCTTGAATCATACTTAAACAAGATATTGATATAATAAAAACTAGAGCAATCAGTTCTTCAATATTGATGTCAATGGCAAAGAATATACACTCTACTATATAGTACTTGTGTATTTTTTTTTCTGTATATTTCTATTCTAAATTTCGTCGCTTGTTGTATTCTAAGAATAAAATATTACCAGAGTTTGTTTTTCTATGTTAAAAAACATACATAGAATTGATTATTATTTATTATTAAGGATTGAATTAAGATGAGTTAAGAAATTTGGAAAAGAGTTATTGTTGAATTTTTGTCTTGGATGTGGATGTGAAGTTGTCTCTTGTCTTTTTTTTTTTGCACTTCATCCACAACTAAATCCACACACCCACACCCCTTTCTTCTTTTGTTTCAGATGATTATTTGAATACAAGTTTGTAGTTTCTCTTCAAAACGAACAGTCGATTTTTCTTGACTTCAGAAAATAATAAGCTCTATTGTTAATTACACTTTGAATGATTCATGACTGAATAAGAAGCATACATATTAAAATCTTTTTCTTTGTTTCTTGCATTTCTCCTTTGTTTGTCTCAAATAGCAGCCGCTGACTGACTAGTCAATTGACTATTTTTGACAACAGGAAAAGAAAAAGAAAAAGACGATAGAAACTTGTATAAGAATAATCCAAGTAAAAAAATATCATTGATCAATGAGATTCAAAATTAATTTTGGTTTTTTTTTTACAAACTCTATTCAAACTATGTGCTGCTTGTTTGAGGAAAATAAAGAAGAAGACATCCAAAATAAATATTCATAAATCGAAAATCTCTTGCCATTCGAAATGAAGTTGTCTGTACAACGTTCAACATGTCAGTGCTTGTTTCATTTTTGTTATCGATCAGGTAAATATCGCATGTAATGATCTGTGGCTTGGTAATTCGAACACTCAAAATTGTTCGCATTGCCAGACAATGGATAGTTGATATAATGGCTAGTCGTTGGCTAGAAATTATAATAATTCATGAAACTTGTTGTTTATCTAGATTTATAATAAGTCTAACTTTTTTATATAATAATAGGATATATATTCATAAAAATAAATTCGATTTGCATTGACAATAATATGAAGTATTGAGCAAACTTTGTATACATTTATATAAAAGAGGGTGTGGGTGTGAATTAAAAGAGGCACACCCACACCCACCCACACCCACACCCACTCTCACACTCACCCACACCCACACCCTCAAATTTCGGCTTCAAACTTTGGATGAACGAAATTTAAAGTGGAAACTTGCAAGTCAATTTTTCGGATAATCTGATAAGGATCAGTCTTTTCTGTCGTTCGGTAAAACTTATCGAATCAACAACGTGTCGATTGAAAAGGGATATGATATCTGAAAAGTTTTCTTCGTGTATAATTAAAAAAAACTAGAATATTTTCAAATGCAACTGATATATTATCCGATGGTTTACAGAGCAATATAAAATAGTAATTCTGTTATTAATCACTTGTATAATTGATGCAAGTTTAACTTTTTGTTGATCTTGTTTAGATCGCATTTGTACATTTTTCATCATTATATTGGCATCGATCAATTTTCGAATGATTCATTACACACATGATGATATAAAAATCAACCTAAGTAGAATTATAAAATGATTATAGAAATACTATCATATGATATACATATATATATGGATCAATTCTATCAGTAGATAATTGTATAAAATTATTTTTAAATTCGAATATACGATTAACACTTTTATAAAAATGATCGAACCAATCGATATTAATGCTGATAAATCAATAGAATTTGTGATAATATTTTCTCAACAGTTTGTTGAATTGTTCGGTTTATATATTATTAGCATATTTGTGCCTATCTGATTTCTTCCATGTAAGAGTTTAAGAAAAAAAAATAATCTGTAAACAATAAATTAACTAACAGGTTAGCTATTGTTACGTCGAAACCAGTCATCCAACAAGAATAGAATATTAACCAGACTAAACAAAGAAATTAATAATCATGCTTCTCTTATCAATACTTGGTTCATTACCAGTACTTGATGTATCGTCATCTCAAATATTTTACTCTTGAACATAGTCAGGCACAGGAAAAAGAGTAGTAGATATCATAATCCATGAGAAATGCTGTTTGATAAATAGCTACTAAACATATCTCTAGAGTTCAACCAACTATTTATAAATTTATTTTATTATGATATGAACAACAGAAGTTAATGAACGATCACTTACATAAATGTTAGGATTAGGATACAAAATACTATGGTTTAATACTCTGGGTTTTTTTTTCATCATTGAAATAATCATCTAGTCATCGAATCAGTAATAAATCCCCAGTTGTTTTCAGCAAACTAATATCAACACTAAGACAATATTCATATGTTACATATCAACAGCTGTATTCATTAAATGTTTGCTTGAAAAGAATATTATATACAGAAATTCGTCAGTAAATATCTATCATAAGCAGATGCGCTAAAATTTGTGTCGAATGATTGCATCTAATAAAATGATTTATTTAAATCTATTGGTCGTGTTATGAATAAAAAAACAATGCCATTGAAAATAATGGTTTTTTTACAAATCGATTGAAAATACGTCAAATTAGAGTGGATATCGTTTGGTACAGGTTCTGGCTCTCCGAAGCAAACTATATTTGTCGATAATTGAAATGCAAATCAGTACTGATGGCCAACAAGGCACTTTGATTTAGGGTTTTTTTCAATATAACATATGTTATATACAGATCCTTCGAGCGACTAGTTTTTTTCTGAAAGATCTGCATTTGGTGACCATTCTCCTTCTAACAAGAGCTCCGGTAGAAGACCAAATGTCTTTGAGAGTATTGAAATTTATGACCAGTTCTTTTGTTATGATTACAAGAACAAGCACTGAATATGATCTCTAGACTAGTATTATCGACAGAATTAATTTACTTGAAAAGAACTGATTCTAGAGCTGAGTTATTGTGCTATGAGCTGTAATAGATCTCTTTATAGCATGTATTATCGTGATAAAAACTTGCTAAATTAAAGTTCCTAATTGGTCATCAATAGTTATGGAAAACATGGTCCCGATCCCAGTCACATTGGAGCTGCAACCAAACGCCATTGTTTCCGCTTACGTCTAGTCATTAGTCAATCATTAAAAATATGATTTCCATTGTACGATGATCAACTTTATGAATCAATTTGTATTTATTGACATTAATCATTTAGATTATAAAGTTTCTCTTCATGTTCTTGTTTGTTATTTAAAGAAAGCAAAAAAAAAACATTTAAAAACGTTTGGGCTGAGATTAATGTTAAAAGAGTGAGGAACATTTGCACCATAAACTCATTTCAAAATACTTAATCTATAATGTAAAACATTATGTGAGCAAGTTGAGAAAGAAGATAGTGACAGAACATGATGAAAATAAAGAGTCATGCATTTGATGGAAACATATTTCATTATTGTTTTGTTTTTCTTTGGATTTGCAGTTGCTTTTGAAAAAATATTAATTTTTTATTCGTCAAACTGTGAGTTGTGAAGAACATATTGACATCACACCTACACCCACACCCTTATACTTTTGACAAAAAAATAGCGGCCCAGTGGACTTCTATTCTAGAAAGGGGATGATGTAAACTTCATCGCATTGTTTACGTCGGTTACTTTAGTTCCAGATTCCATCTTTTTTAGGGCAATACACCCAGAAGCATGTTCCAACAAAGTCATTCATGTTCCACGGATATCAATTAGAGTCCCGAACAATTCCATTTCGGCACTACGGTTCATTCGCTTAAAAAGAAAACTATTTGAACTGGCAACACAGATGGATTAATCGTGCAACTGACGAGTGTATCAAGCAACCTGAATCATCGGAAGGTTGCCTTTTCAATACAAATCAATCCAAGAGTGTCGGTGTGGGTTGGTGTGCCTGATGCAGGGCTGGATGATTTTCGTTGGGTTTGGATGTTTGTTCTTTATCCATTGTCACACCTACAGTTCGGACAAAAGCCAATATATCAAGGGTTAACTGTCGTGTGGATCAGAAGAAGCGAGTATTAACAAGAAGATTAGCTACTGAAATTAATATTTCAAGAAGAAGTGCTTAGAGAATCTTACGTAAAGATCTATATTGTTATCCATACAAAAAAATTAAGTAAACAAAATTTATCGATCTTCAAAAAACAAGAGGAATAAATATGAAAATTGGATGTGTAAAAAATTACATCAAAGAAAATATCACAAGATGGTTTTTTTGCTGACGAAAAAAATGTTGATTTGGATGGGATATACAATTCAAAATGACAGGGCCTAAGCCGTTAATAGGGAAACGGTCGACAAGAATAGTGTCATTCGTGAAGTAATAAGTTCGAGTCCAAGGTGATGGGGTAGTGATATGTGTGTGAAGGAAAGGGTTGATGATGTCGGTAATTTTAGAAAATAGAATAATGGATGCAGAAAGAGAATATGTGTGGCTGGGGCAGTAAGGATATGTGGGTGTGAATGTCTGGATCAATATCTTTTCTTCCATATCACACTCACACCACATCTACCTATACCCACACCCTGATCTAAATTCATCTTCAAAGTATCGTAAAACATCTTGAAATCAAATTTTTAGTACCAAGAACGACGTATGAACACTTTTGCTAGTTGTTCTCTTCTCTTTTGTCTACTTGTGTATCGGGTATAAAGGTCACACAAACAAAACAGGTTTCGTGAAAATGAGCTTTTCAACGATTTTAGCGCGTCATCATGTGCTTAGATTCAGCTATTTTACAAACCAAAATTGAGTTTTACCAACTCAATCGCTGACAGCCATGGTTTGAAACGATATCTTTGAAAATAGTTGGGCTAATCCTTGTTTAACGAACTACTACAGGCATTTTGAGAGTAAGAACGTTAAACAGTTGAAAAGCATAAGTAAGCTTTCTTTAGAAAATGCACTCGCTTGTTACAAGACAGGGGTAGATTTAAGAGTCTGAAAAATGTGTTACCCACGGACATATATATAAAATAAAGAAGTTACATGTGTGAAAGCAAAAAACAAACTGAATTAATTCACAATTTGATATTAGCATGGAAATGTTTGTAAACATCATAATTGAAAATAAAGAGAGAATGGATATATGAGGGGTTATAATTCATAATTAGTCTCGATAAAAATAATTAATCACCACTTAATACAGTGATAGATTAGAAATTGGTCAATCAGTTTTTACATGAATTCAGGAAAATAGATAAACTGTTCGAGCCTCGATTAGACACGACTAGATCTAATTTTCCATCACTGTTTAAATCACCCGCTGTGATACTGCTTGGTTGATCACCTGTTGTATATGATTGTTCGCGCAAAATAGTTTGATTGCCACTTCCAAACAGTATAAGGATTTTACTTGAGCCTTGATTAACTACTGCTATATCAATGTTGTTATCTCGGTTAAAATCATCCGCTACTAAAGCAGTCGGTATTTTATCAACCTTATATTTGATTTGCTTCTGAAAGGTTCCATTTCTATTACCAATCAAAACACTGATATTATTTTCACCTTGATTAGTTACAATCAAATCAAGAATATGATCGTTGTTTAAATCAACTGCTATGACAGAGCTTGGATTAGCTCCAGTCATGTATGTCACATGAGGTTGAAAAGTCCCGTTACCATTACCGAATAGTATACTGACAGTTTTATCGGCGAAATTAGTCACTACCAGATCCAATTTTCTATCGTTGTTGAAATCAGTTGCAAAAGCAGAAGATGGCCACTTACCAGTTTTAAATGTCACTTGGTTTCCAAAGGTTCCATTGCCATAACCGAGAAAAACACTGACATTGTTGTCATTTTGGTTTACTACTAACAAGTCTAGATTTGTATCTTGGTTGAAGTCATTTGAGATAACATAAGATGGTCGTGCTCCACATTCAAATATAATTTGAGATTTGAAGGTTCCATCTGGATTGCCAAGTAACACGCTCATAGAACTATTGTGTACATTAGTCAAAGCCAAATCCAGTTTCTTGTCCTTATTGAAATCACCTGCTACGATAGAACTGGCCGTTAGACCCGTCTTATATGATACTCTAGTTTGAAAAGTTCCGTCTTCATTGCCGAAAATTAACAACATGTTGCTATCACCTGTATTGACAAGTACCAGATCCGATACATTATCATTATTAAAATCATTCGAAGCTAAAGCCCATGGAGTAGTTCCAGTTACATATTTCATTTGGCGTTGGAACGTTCCATTTCCATAATTAATGAGCACACTAAAAGAATCATCATGGACGTTACTTATTGCCAGATCCATACTGCCATCCTTATTAAAATCAACCGCTACTATTTCACTTGGTGATATACCAACGGGATATATCACAGGATTACTAAAGGTACCATTCCCATTACCGGACAACATGACGACAGAAGCATTACCAATAAGAGACACTACTAGATCCGATCGGTTATCTCGATTGAAATCATGTGCTACTACAGCGAAGAGGCCTATGCCAACAAATTGTTTCATTTGAGGTCGAAAACTTCCGTTGCCATTACCGAGCAGCACACTAATGAAACCATCCTCATTATTGACTGCTATCAAATCTAGTTGTCCATCGTTGTTGATATCGTTAGAGGCTATATACGTTGGTGCGCGACCAACTTCGTACTCTATCTGATCTGAAAAATTTCCATAGCCACCACCAAGCAGTACACTGACGGTTTTTGAGCCGTAGTTTGCCACTGCTAAATCCGGTTTTGAATCATTATTAAAATCACTCGACATGATGAAGTATGATCCATTACCAACTGAGTAACTTGTTTGATATTCTAGAGTGCGATTTGCACCACTAAGCAGTAGAAAAACAGCATTGTCAACCGAGACTGCCACTGCCAAATCCAAGAGACTATCGTTGTTGAAATCAGCGGCTACTACATAGAGAGGTTTGTTGCCAACGATATACTCTATCTGAGACTGAAAGGTCCCATCCCCATTTCCAAGCATTAATGTAATAGAATTAGCATCCCTATTACATGCTACTAGATCCACATTGCCATCATGATCTATATCACCCGTTGCCACAGAAATTGGACTGGTACCCGTCGTAAATAAGATCGGAGACGGATAGTTCCCTTTTCCATCACCAAATAGAATATCTATAGTTTGATAATGTTGATTGACCACTATCAGATCCATAAATGTATCATCATTCAATGAGCCAGATAACACAGCAATTGGTGATTTTCCAATCTCATCGCTTGTCATAGTTGGATAGGGGTCCGTACACACGTATTTATTCGTGTCTTTATCTCCTAAAGAAGCTCATTTTTCTTGTAACGGTTTAGTAATCAAATAGTATCTCAAAATAGAGATTGATTCATAACTAAGAGAATCTCTGCTGATTTAGAACCTATCAACTAATTTTTTCTGTATCTTTCAATACTTTTTTTACTAATTTATGCAGAATAAAGTGAATCGAGAAAAGAGTCATGCATATGAAACTTTTCGCATGTTCGTGAAAATTATGTTGATGAAGGAAAAGATCAATTATTTGTCTCGAATCAACGAAACTTTTCATGATGAATAGGCATAAGTATTTATTTTTCATAACAGCTTAACTTGTTATATGTGCATGATAATCTCTAGAAACAGCAAGTAAAAGTTTATTGTCGACTAAATACGAATAGCTGCCGATATCTTGTATTCTGACACTTTCATTTGAGCTTACCACATCGTTGATTAGAATATTAAGCATGAAAATATTGTATGATGGCAGAACGACTAGATAAATTCAATGTAAGTTGAGTAGATGTTATTTGAGGAAGAATATTTTCATATACTCTCAAGGATAACGTTTTTCGTTAAAGTATGGATTTCTCTCTATCGTGAAGTTCAATTTAAAATAAAAAAATAGAAATCAAAAGCAAGTTATGAATCTTTTCTTTTCAATGTGCAGTATTAGTGTGTCTTCTTGGCTTAGTTCTACTACAAACAAAGCTAAATCAATGTGCCAGCAGTGAAAAGCTGTTAAGACAATGAGAAAAGATTTCTTTCCGGAGAAAAATTATTCGAGAGAACCCAAGCAAACAGAAAAAAGCTATCGATGGGCGCGACGAGTGGTCGAAACTTGACATATATATTTTTTTCTCGTTCTGTTCAATATTCGAGCCCCTCGGTACCCATCGAATATCGACCTCTCGGAAGCATACTCCTATCGAACATTTATTTTCGGCTCCTCAGATACATTTCGACCACTCGAAAACCATCGGTTTACCGACTACTCGAAGAGAAAAAACCCATCGGACAACTACTTTCGATTACTCGATGTAATTTCGAGCACTCCAAGCCTATCGAAATTTTGATTACTCTCTCTCGGCAAATCTAGCGACGAAACGGTTTTCATTATTCAATTCAATTTTGATGAGCCGAAAGTTCTTGAAATTCAGTTTCTTTAGTGATTCTTCACTTTGATTTGGTGATCTCATCCAACTAACTTTAGTTTGCTGGACACTTAAAAATAATTATTATTAGAATGGCAATAACATTCTGGATTGTTCCTTGAGTTTAAAAAGTCATTCTTTCATATATATGTCGTATCGAAATTACAACGGTCGTCGAAGTTGCAAGGTCGACAGGTAACAATGCCTGTCGACCTTGCAACTTCAACGACCGTTGTAATTTCGATATGACATATATATAGAGGGCTATGCAACAGCAGTCTGTTTGTCACGCTACATACAATAAGTAATGGATCCGATATGTGTAGTTAAATTTGATGAAAATGAAGTAAGTTTTGTTCCAGCAAGCTGCATACACTCATCAAAAAACGTGAAAATAAAAGTAAATGGTGATTATTTATTTGTTGACAAAAATGATAGACATCGGCGTCTTCGAGGTAAACTCCTATTTAAAGGTAAGATTAGATAAAACCATATATTTACTTATATATTATATCATATTCTTCTTGACGGTTTTTAATAGGAACATTCGAGGAATGTGAAGAATATTGTGAAGGTGATACTTCTTTAACAGTTGATAAATCAACATGGTTGATTACCATTGTCTCCGAATCAAATAACAATAACAAAGTAACGGAATGTACAACATTTAAACAAAAAAAGCAAAAAAATGAATCAAAAAAACCTGAGATTATTGGAATGCAAATGAAAACAAATTCATCAATTACGATTGTTAAGAAATCAACTCAAATTGATAAAACAACACAAAGCAATCAACAAAATGTATTTGATAATCTATTATTCTTGGTGGTGTTTTACCAACACCAAATCATCCAACTAATAAATTATTTCGAACTATAATGGACATGATATATCAAGAATGTGCACAATTAGAAGCTGGTGTTACTTTTTTTATTCCTGGTGTAGGTGAACAAAATATTAAATTTTTTATTATTGCATCATGTACAGATAAACCTGCTCAATCGTTATTAACTAATATGGTCTCCCACAATGCTAATTATAGCTGTGCAAAATGCTTTACTGAAGGTACATTATAATTATTCTTTAGTTTCATTTTTCAAGTTCAAAATTTATTGCATTATTTTAGGTGAAAATTTCACTATCTATTCGAAAAAGGTACGAAAAAGTACCATCAAAGTATTCCCGTATAGAAATGATGAAGTCAGGAATAATTCCATATGCAATAATCTGGCGATCGAAGCCGGACAGCATGGCTCTCCTGTTAAAGGACATGCTGGTAAGTATTGTCTAAATATTGTCTCGGATGCCTTGATTTAACCAGGTTATTTGGGAGAGTCTTTCAGAAGAAAATTTTATATAATTATTTGCTGCATATATGTTGTGAAATTTATTTGTTTTAGCTCCGTGCCCTTTAACAAAATTAAAATATTATTCTTTTGGTGAATCAATACTCTTTGATTCATTGCATACATTATATTTAGGTGTATTTAAAAAATTTTGTTCGTTGATTTTTTCTAAATCCAAAACTGATCGTCAACAAAAATGGTCGCTTTATAATAAAATAAATAGTATTGATTAAGGGTTATCTTCTGTTAAAATTCCAACTACTACAAGTCGAAGATTTCGAACAATAAAACATATTGCACGTTTCAAGGCGAACGAATTCAGATCCTTAATGCATCACGGTTCAACAGTATTGTTACAAGCAAAGTTACCAAAATATCGTCGACATTTTGCATTGTTATTAGCTGCTGTTAACATTGCTTCTAAAGATATTATTGACAATTATGATATAATATTAGTCAAAGAATTATTACATCAATATGTAAAAGATTGGCAAAAGATATTTGGTCTTCGTCATATGTCATCCAATATACATTCACTTTTACATATTCATGAATCAATACAATTTCTAGGTCCTTTATATATGTATAGTGCTTTTAATTTTGAAGGTTAGTTTGCAGACTACACGTCGTTATTACATATAATTCTCTATCATGGATATTATCTCATTATAATGAGAACAAAAATATAGATAAATATAGATAAAGATTATTTCAATTTTTATTTGAACGATAAGTGTTTTGTTAAGTTGAAGGAAAAAAAAATCATCATCAATTATTAGCTGATGCGATTATAATTACATTTTGACATCAGTAATAAAAGTAATACAATGAGTTTGATCGCTTTATATTCATTTAAGGTGTTTTAACTCGTTTGTAGCGATTTGAAAAAGACTTATGTTTTTAGAATATCATGAGTTATCAAAATTCAAAGTTAAATGAGCTATAACTACCTGATGATTTATTTCTCACTATTCTTTCATTTTCTACGCATTACACAAAAATTGCTAACAATTCAATAGGTTTTATCATCGGTTTAAAAAGAATTTTTCAGGTTGTATTTATTCTTAATTACTATCTCAGGCATTGGTCATGACCTGGTGTGCATGATCCATGGTATGACACACTATGGACCACAATTAATTTCAAATTTACAATATTATCGACAAGCTATAATTGATGTATTCAAACTTGATTATCCAGAAAAACTATTTTATTTTAATGAAAGTATTCTTAGTCGCAAATTAGTATCAAATCAAGGAATACACGTGAGAAAACGAGTGTCTTTTACAAATTATGTTGACGAGATGAAGCATTTGAACTTAATTACAAAAAGAAAATTCTTGTATCATGATGAATTAGCCATCAAACATGTTAAATATAAAACTTTATCATCCACAAAATCTCGCAAATTCGCCGATTGTTGTGTTTCATTTGTATTTGGACGACAAATTAAATTAGGACTTATTAGAGCGATTGTAAGCGATCCAAACGATAATGGAAAAATATTTATTTTATTGGAAGATCTTATTGATGAATTCGCAAGACATCATTTATTACAATTTAAAACGAATAACACAACATTCTCAACAATTCCGAATATTTATATTCGAAAACGTTCTTCGTGTCTTATTCTTAGATCGTCATCGCATATTTTGCAGAAACATTCTTTCAGATTTCTTAATAATGAAGAAACTATTGAAATAATCGAATATTCAAATCTTAAAGAGAGCAGTTGAGTGAGAGTTGTCATATTTTTTTCTAACATGTCTTTGATTTTTTTTCAACTGTAATAGATAATAAAGTATTTTATATTTGCTCATAAAACTTCTAGTTCACACAAGAAAACTTATAATAACTGGAATTAGTTTTTCAACCATTAATAGTAACAAATTTCTCTCAATTTTTTTCGAAAAAAAATAGCCAAGATTATATATTAATTTTTTTTTCATTAATAGTATTAGTCTCTTCCTATTTTTTTTCGAAAAAAAAATTATTCAATATCATATATTGAAAAAAAAATTTTTCTTTAAAAATAGTCAAGATTATATACGAAATATTTTTTTATTAATAGTAGCAATTTCCTCTCACGTTTTTTTCGAAAAAAAATTAGTTTAGATCATACACGAAAAAAATTTCATCAAAGTTTTATATATTTCATGACGAAACGTAGATTTATTCAGGCTGAGAATGTCATATTTAGATCATCTGGTTAATGCAAGCTTCATAATCGTAAGTACATTTGTTCGAATCTACTGTTCTGCATTTATTTCCGATAGGTCTCGAGGGCTCTGGTATTCGTAAGTATATATGTTCGAATTTACTGTTATTCAATCAGTGTCGAGTGCTCGAAAATAAGTGGTGGCGAAAATTTTTTGAAAATTATCGAAAATTTCGAGTGGTCGAAATTTCGACCGTTCGGAGCCCTGCGAAACATCGACCACTCGATATTTTGCAACTTTCGTTTCACTTAGAACCTATCGAGAAAGGTCATTCGATGGGTATCGGAATAGCTTATCGAAACCAATCGAAGCAAAGACAAAAAAGGGATCGAAAATCATCGATAGTGTGGTCTTCAAGTACCAATCGGAATTTATATTTCGAGCCCTCGAGATAGAAGATCATATAAACTGCAAAATACTTGGAAAAGCAACCCATCGCGGAGCCCTCGACCCATCGGAAAATGGCAAACCCAGGGGTCGATTTGGAATTCCGATGCCCATCGGAAGCCTAAATCGACGCGTCGAAAAGCCTATCGAATGGTTGGTTGGGAAGTACAAGAGAACGGCTAAAGAAAATTTTTATCCATATATCTGATCCAAATTATACTTAGAAGCGGAACCAGAACCCTGAAATAAACCAGGATGAAATCAGAATCGTTAGAACTGAAGAATTTTTTTAAATAGTAATAATTCATTCAAAAAAAATTTTAGAATTATTTTTGAAAAATTCTCTAAAAGCAGCCGATGAGTTACTGCAACTGAAATGGAACAGAAAATAACTGTACAGCTGTCTTGCAAGCCGCACATAATAATCAAGAACGAATCATAGTGACAACAATAACAAAAATGCTTAGGATGAATGAAGATGATATTGGTTTTTGTGATAATGATAGAGAATGAGACGAAAAGAAAAGGATTTAATGAGTTTGCTTTGAAACTTCTTTTTTTTAGAGAAAGTAGTTGCATATGAAGATCTCATACTATATAGATTCTCCCACTTTGTCTTTTGCTATATTTCTTGAAGAAATACCTTTTTTCAATAGAATAATAGAATTAAACAATCTTGAAACATGTAATATAAACATTTCTAAACAAGTGATACTACTATAGTTATTTGGTATTCTGTTCGGTTTTGCAGAACCCTCAATATTTCGAGATAGAAACGGACATAAGAGGGCAAAATCAAATTCCGGAGCGATGAGGAACTGCCAGAATATCTTCGAATGAAGGATACGCTAGTAATGATGCTACTGGCATCGTTACTGTTTGTACCCGGCCTACAGGCATCGATGGAAACATAGTTACGGGCTACTGTAATATTCCGACTTATTCAATACACTACTGAACCGTTTTAAAGAAATGATTTCGTGGTACTCTGAGATGAAAAATCTGAATTTAGCCTGAGTTTTCAATAAACCTTAACCGAAGGTAATTAATGCTGAAGAAGCCTGTCTGGAAGGTTCTTTTTCAAGTTTTCTATTCTTAGCTCAGCTGCAAGAAACTCCTAGCTTTATTGTAACTAAGTTTAACTGTCCATCTGATAACGTAGGCTTTCACTTTTACTCTGCATTAGAATGTTTGCGAGTTTCAATTTGAAAATAAAATTCTATTTTATGTTTATTTTCGTTTAACATACTATGCAAACTTCTCAAATTCTTCTGATAACTGCAAGCCATTTGCTCATGTACATATTCATCTCTTACATAACCGGATAGTATCCTTCGAATTCGTCGCTATATGTTTTTCCATTGAAATATTCGTACTCGTTTACTTCACTGCTTTATGAAAGCGCACGATGCATTTTCTTGAAACGAGAGTAGTGTTTTGGAATTTATGCAAATGAATAGCTAGGCGCCTTTTAAAAAGCTAGGAATCACTAAATATAAACTCTTCTGTGTTTGGTTCTGAATTGAAAATAGCATGGAATAGAATACCTTGTTCTTTGTTTGATATTCGTGAACCAATAATAGCACCAAGAATGATCGCTGCAAAAAATACCGCCATCAACGAGCACATTGGGAACACGAATCTCTTCTTGCGATACCATGGATGTCTTGAAAACGTGATAAGAATTCTCGTGAAAAACATAGTTGAATGAAAATAGAATGAGACTTACTGAATTTTTGGATAAAGACGTGCACCTAAACATAGAAATGTCTCAGTATAAAAAGACACATTTAGAAATAATCAAAATACCTTCGAAAGGAGGCTCAAGTAGCATTGCTGTTGGTATAATCTGTTTCAAATGAATGATGTAAAGATCGGACGCTGGACTCAATTGTGACTGAACTACCATATGAGTGCCAGGCAAAAGAAGAACTTCATCTTCTGTAACGAAATGTGAATGAGCACGCACGCTTCGACCATTAATTGCTTCGACTGAGAAGAGTGTTCGTGCGCCCATTGTGCCCAAATACATGTTATTTTCAAGTACAGTCATTTCAGTGGTGCACGATGAAAATGCCCACCATGTGACTAGAGTACCGGGTGGAAATTCTGCACTCAAATCTATTTTTACGCCTCGCCAGACAGTTAGTGGTGGAACACATGGTAATTTGACCAAGGCAGTTAATAACAGTTTGAGATATCGAAAATAGGGCCGAAGATTCTCACGACTAGCCATCTTAAGAGTGTAATTAAGCATTGAATAGAGACTTTGATGTGGTTCTTCCCATTCAATTGTGTAGAGACGAATTGCAGCACTTTCATCAACTGTTAATTGATTTGGTGGTTCGGATGGAGTCTCATCAAGAGCCATTTGAACATAGAATGATAAATTGTATAAAATATCGGACAGTGGAAGGCATGCATCGGCAAGCGATAACAAAGGCTCTTGAGCGTAATCTACAATGGGATCAAGGTCCAGTTCGATATTATCAACAACATTCATTTTTGATGGCTGCACATGTTTATTAATAAATTCGTCCTCTTCAATATATTTTCTAATAGACTTGCTATTTGGACCATCAGTATCATGTACTGCTGCTGCCATCTGTCTTCGATCAACTGTCTCTTCTCCAATGACGGTCAAATCTAGTTCATCATAGTTAATCAC